CTTTATAAACTTGATTTGTATGTTTATTGTCCAATAAGGAAGAGAAGTAAGCTTTTGTAAATGGCAACCTGAATTCAGACAGCTGATAATTGCAGTATTAACAACATCTAATAATCCGTATCTTCCATAAAGTAACAGAGGGAAAACGAAAACATTTTGATAAGCACAGTGGAAAGAAGAACTGATATTCTGTCAAGAATTAAATTTTAGCCAGGTGTACTCATATCTAGGCTAGTGGATTCACTATGAGTTACTGTAGCCTCAGTTCAATTCAAGACAATGGAAAATGTAATAGCTTGTAATAACGTTTATAGTGAATAAGAAACAGAGCAGAATTGTATTCCGTTTTACATATCAGGTATGCTATATAAATAATAATCAGAAGATATGTATCAGCTTATTATATTTTCCAATATTGCATGCTATGATTTGTTTTTTTAATTTGTATAAGGCAGAAATGTAACATCCAAACACAACCAAATACAAGTTTTGCAAAGCTTCATTTCAGCAACATATTTTCCGGTTTCTTTTTAGCTGTGTGTATTTGTGTTCAGGGGTCTGTATTTAGACTGATGATACTTTGTCTGGCAGGACTTCACTGATGGAAGGAATTTATGAAAATAACAGGTAAAAGAAAAGACCAGAAATAAGTTCCAGGATGTTCTGCACATCTGTTTCAAGCAACCGTGATGCTATAAAAACGTCAAGCAGTCTTGAGTCTGATTTAGATTCCTGCAGCATCTTTCCTGGGGTTGCATAGTTAAATCATAAACTTTTATTAACTCATTGGAGCTGGCACTGGGAGCAGGAACCAAGTAACGAGAACAATCTGCTGTGTTCAAAGGGTGCAATGTGTTTGACAGCAAGATTTCTAAGATTTCTAAGATGTATTACAGTTAAATACTTTTTTCCCATTAGGTAAAACTGGCACCTGGTTTTAATGGGCAATAAAGCTGTAGACAGCAATAAATTGAATTTTTTTTTATGCTTCCTCTATTTTAAATTCTATCCCTAATGATTACATTATTAAATGGAATTATATTTCCCCTACTCATCCTTCATGACTACATTTTTGCAGTTGTACATGAAAATAACCTTTATATTCTCTTATGATGGCTGTTAGCTTGCTTGTTAGAGTCATCCAAGAGTAAGATTGGACAATCTGAATAAAACAATTGAATAAATTAATTGTCCCCACACTACAAACAAAGATGTAACTAGAGAGAATATCAAAAGAAATATGGAAATAGATGTCTCTGGTAATACAATATGTGTGTTTGTATGTATGTGTGTCTGTCTGTCTGTCTGATCATGAGTATTCTCCCCTCTCGCCCCACCCACCCACACATATTGTAAATCTTATTAATAAAATCAGAAACCATGGTATCAGATAATGGGGCTTGGATTTGGCCTGGAAGCCACATTAGAAATATTTTTGTCTGCCCTTAGTGAACAGAAAGCAACACAACTTCTACAATGGATAGAATTAAACAGGATGACTTTTTGCAAATTTGAATGTATATTTACAATTTAGAGTAAAAGATACAACATGAGAAAAAATATACACTATTTTGGAGACTCTTCCAGAAGAGTTCTTTGTAACAATTTGTTTGGCAAACATGTCTTGTGATCAACTCAGGGGCTTTCTATTACTACTTTTGGGTCTTTTACCCACTTTTCTTGGAATATCTTTTCTAGCTCAAAAATATTTTTATTCTCCTTGTGTTACCTGCATATTTGAGATCTCTCCAAGCATTTTCAGTACTATTCAGTATTTCAAGATGAAGTAACATTCAAGGGAAAACTATTCCAAAATCTTCATTTTGGATATATATTTTGAATCATGCTATTCTATCATGGAGAAGATACAGCAAAGGTGAGTTGTTCCAGAAAACAAAACAAAGAATCATAGGTTTAAATTGCAAAATAAGTAGATTTTAGTTGGACATCAGGAACTGAAAAGACCCTTGAAAAGATCAATTTGCCAATCTTGGGTCTTCCTTGGAAGCACTATCTTATCAGTTATAGTAAGATACAAGTAGCCTTCATAACCTTGCCAGTTCCATTTTTAAAATAAAGTAAAGTAAAATAAAATTCATGCCAGGACCTTTAAGTGTTAACTTGGTATCCAATTTCATTGTCAAGAGACTTAAACCTGCCCTAATTTAACAGAATGTAAAAGTAGGAACTGACCCAAACATGCATATGAGATTGAACATTTTTGAGCTCAAATTTAGACTACTAAGAGAATTTAACTAAATTCCCAGTTGCACTGACAAAACCATCCCAGAAATGTATCAGTCAATCAAGTAAGAGTAAATTTTAAGGTTGTGGCTGATCGCATAAAAGAAGCTGAAAGCTAAGAGAATGAATGAAATCCAAATAATGTTAGTGTTGCACCTCAAAAGTGCTATGGCAGCCCAGGAGATGAGGTAATAGAATTATTTGCTAGCTATTCACAACTTGTCAGAAACACTGCTCTACATTTACAACACAATATTATTCATAAAAGTGAAGTTGGGGAATTGCAAATCTAACCATTCAGATAATGGGATGCTAGGACACCTCCAGAACTACAAGATCAGTGTAGGATGTTAGGACACCTCCAGAACTGCAAGATCAGTGTAGGAGAAAATGAACGTCTTGGATATTATTAGAAAGTTCTAGGCCTATAACAGTTATGAATAATCCTGATGAATATTGACTGTTGCAGATTCTGAAGCAGAAGAAAAACCACAACATCTATAAAATAAGTTCAAAGTTATAGTATGTTTTGAAGCCACCTGATATGATTTGGTTGCTTTGCTTTGAAGCATGTTCCTGCTTCAATTTATGAATCTGCTTTGATGGGTTGATACAATAAAGGGGCTTTAAATCAAAATACTCCTTTGAAGCTTTGAATAGCCATGCTTAATAGCATCCTTTCCCTCTCCTCTCCAATTGTTTTGCCCTGTAATCTCCAGAATTCTTGGGCAGAAAAGAGAAAGGAATACCCTGTCAAGTAAGCCAATACCAGCTCCTCTTCCAAAATGATGAGATTTATCTTAACGCCTTCCTCCACTCTAATATTGCTATTTCATAATAAAAAGGTAGAAACAAGTATAAAAATAAATGATTTTTAACACATTAGGGTGATAAAAGGAGCCTGGTGGTGCAATGTTTAGAATGCAGTTTTGCAGGCTAACTCTGTCCACAGCCTGGAGTTTGATCCTGACTGGCTCAAAGTTGACTTACCCTTCCATCCTTTCAAAGTTGGTAAAATGAGGATCCAGATTATTGGGGGTAATATGCTGGCTCTGTAAACCACTTAAAGAATACTGTAAAACACTATGAAGTGGTATATAAGTTTAAATGCTATTGCTAAAAAGCTGAAATCCTTCCAAAGAAAAATGGAACAACAGTCAGTTAGGCTGGTGAATTTATTGTTGTTAATCATTGTCATTCAAATATTTTATTAAAAGTTAGTAAATTGAACTTGTCAGAATTTATTAAAGGTAATTTGTTATTTGCAAACTGAGTCTGCAGTTGTGTTTTATTAGGAAAAAAGGAAACAATTCCAGTTTGGAGAAACATCATAATTCAGAAAAACACAGGGCTGTAGTATTCTGACAATATTACCATGATAGTTTGTTTCTAAAAAGCCCTCAGGAAAACCTCCCTGAAAATCTCTGAAATTAAAGAGATATAATTCATTCATCCTTATTCCCAATCTAGCTAGTTATTAATTCTGGCAAAATTGACATTTTAAATATGTCTTTTGGCAGGCTGTCTCCTGGGTTTCTAACAAAATTGAAATATTTTTTTTTCTCAGGGACAAATACAGAGATTGGAAAAGCTGCTGATGAAATTTGCTTCCCTTAACTTCCATCCTATTTTATCATATTTAGCTTAGGCCAGTTGAATGTTAGGATTCTGATTAGTCAAGATGAAATATGCCAGTGGACAAGGCTAAATGTCTAAGTCTGTGCTTATAAAAGAAAATTAAGATGGTCACTATTTTCAGAGATTCCAAGTAACAGAATTACTGACCTGGTAACTTGTAGTGTAAGAAATGTAAGGAATTTAAGCATTTTGATATATATAAATGGATCTAACAATGGACTGCGTCTATAATTAACAAACAAACAAAACATAGTGCTGATTAATCCAAATGTTTAATTAGAAAATAATGGTTTTGTTAACCTGAATGATGTGTGTACTTGTCAATTGAGTCTGATTTTATTCTGTTAATATTAATATTCATAATTTAGCAATTCACTTCATTTAATATTATTAAATGTACAGACATAGAATGGATTAAAGCATAAAAAGTGTTAAAGTGTCAATTCCACTTTACAATGCCTTGGTAAGGCCACACTTGGAATACTGCATCCAGTTTTGGTCACCACAAAGTTAATTAGGAGACTGGAGGCTAAAACATATAAGGAACGGTTGCTGGAACTGGGTATGTCTAGTCTAATGAAGAGAAGAACGAGAGGTGACATGATAGCAGTATTCCAATATCTCAGGGGCTGCCACAAAGAAAAGACAGTCAAACTATTCTCCAAAGCACCTGAAGGCAGGACAAGAAGAAATTGATGGAAACTAATCAAGGAGAGAAGCAACCTAGAACTAAGGAGAAATTTCCTTACAGTTAGAACAATTAATCAGTGGAACAACCTGCTTCCAGAAGCTGTGAATGCTCCAACACTGGAAGTTTTTAAGAAGAGACTGGACAGCCATTTGTCTGAAATGGTATTGGGTTTCCTACCTGAGCAGGGGGTTGGACTAGATGACCTCCAAGGTCCCTTCCAACATCATCATCATCATCATCATCATCATCATCATCATCATCATCATCATCATCATCATCATCATCATTATTATTATTATTATTATTATTATTATTATTATTATTATTATTATTATTATTCAATCTAACCTACAACACTGACAAGATAAGATGGAGTGGAGTTATCTTAAACTTTGCTATAAAGATTCTCATTTTCTAGTTCACATACCGTCAATTCCAGTGCTTCATTTAGGAGGCCATTGCGTTTACTGTGAAGGAAGACATTGGAACTTCCTGTTTTGGCTACGCGAATCCTGGCTAACCGGGCTTTCTGTAAAAGAAAGAAAGAGGAGACAGGTTAAATTTCAATATTAACGGATGATATCTGAATGTTTAAAACTTTATTATGCTGGAAGTATAAAATGGACTTGTCTTCCTATTATTGAACTTTTCTTTATCATATAGTTCTCTAAAAATTATTTTGGGAAGAGTAACACAGTTGAGATCTGTGAACATGTTTTGAGTGATGTACCATATAAGATTGAATTTACTGAGATAAAGTATAGCAAAAACAAACAAACAAACAACAATGCTGTTTTATAATGGAGACAATGTAAAATTGGAAGTTATATTGTATGTATTTACCTTCGGTTAATGAACTGGATCTGTAGTAATTTATTGAAAGGTTTGATCAACTATTCCATGTGATCAAGGTTTAATACTGTGTTTAAAAATTTAGCTATTTTTCTATAAATAGGCATTTTGTGTTTTTTATGCTTTTCTTTCACCCCATTTATTCTTATTTTTAGTTTATTGCATTCTTTTTTATTCCTATCAATTAAAGCAAATATTAAAAAATGAACTCATTGTTATTGAACTACTTTTCTTTTTGCTGAAAAAATAATATAAGCAATAGCATTTTTTAGAAAGGGTATACTATTAATGAAAGTTAATCATTGCTACTATTTATTATTTCTATTCATTGTTAGGCTTGGATTTAAACTCTTAAGTCTATAAGAAAAATCCTGCTTTCATTTTAAATCTGCTCAGTGACTGAGGTAAAAATCATAGAGTTCTTCCACACACAGGAAATGCTCTGGCTCTGAAGCTTGACTCGTCATCTCATCATCACTATTGATGGAGCAGCAAATGCTTAGTAAATTTTTGAGTGTTGTATTCTTGGTGTCCTTTACCAATGTGTTCCCTGGGTCTCTGCTTCTGGAATAATATGCATTTAAATGTTCTCTACTTTATTTTCTGATTAGGAAGACTGACTGCCTACAATGGGATCAGCCCATTTGGTTGCAGACAAAAGCAGATGAAAAGCAGTTGAATTCATTGCCTGTTGGGTATGACTTGTACATTCAAAAGGGACCAGTATCTCTCAAGTCTATTTCACTATTAATTTGGAATACTCCTGATTTATCTACAACTGAATAAGGGAAAGACTGAGGATAATTTGCATATTTATGCTGCAATCCTATTGAATTAAACTGCTTTTGATGGAAACTATTTCTAAGAACCTATACTTAGAATATAAATATAAGGATAGAACTCTGAACATGCATGTTCAGTGGCCGTTCTTTAACAAACTACAAGAGTAGGACAGAGGAAAAACTACAACAGTGAACCTAGTAGGTATGGTCATCAAATCTCAGATGTCTTGTCTCCATACCCATGCAGAAATATGAAAAATAAACATAGTAAACTAGATATCCTAAATCAGGAAGACAAATACAAAACTAAATAGAAATAATACTTATATTTTTCACATAATATTGGAAACTTTCAACTTAATAGAAGGATACTTACGTGTGTCATAGTATTAGAAACCTAGAACCTATGCAAAAGTAACAGGTGCAATAGAAAATGTATGAATATTATACTATATAAAATAAAAAAAATATATACTTGCATAGGAATCTAGGAATTAAAGCATGGAAATACTGTTTAAAATATGTGGGTAAAAATAAAAGAAGAGAGAAAGAAAAGTGATGCCACCAGGGAAGTTTATTTTAGACCACCTAAGCAGCCAGAGGAGATGGATGTGGTCTTTCTATGTCAAATGACCATTCTTTCAGAGACACATGCATAAATGGGATAATGGGAGATTTCAATTATCTTGACATTTGCTGGAAATCTAAGTCTGCTAAGAGTCAAGAGGTCCAATAGATTCTCTTTTGTTGGCAACTTCACTTGTCAGAAGATAGAAGACAGAACAAGGAAGTCTGCTACTATGGACCTAATCCTGTCCAGCACAAAGGAATTGTTTGAAGGAGTAATGACAGCTGTTATCTTAAGGAAAGTCATCCTGGTATCTTTGAAATTGTAACATTTTATAAAATAACAGAATAACAGAGCAGGGAGAGACTTTGGAGATCTAGTCAATCCCCATTTCAAACATATACCTACATAATCTCTTCTTAAAAATCTCCAGTGATGGAGCACCCACAACTTTTGCAGGCAAGCCTTTCCACTGATTATTTGTTCTAACTGTCAAGAAGAAATTTAGGGAACTGTCAGGAATTTAGACAAGGAGAAACTGACATCTGCATATTGGACCATTGAATAATAGTTTTTAATGAATTCTGAGGGAAGTTAGGCTGGATCTTATGGGTTGAATTCCTGAAAGAGAAAAGCACCAGGAACTAAGCAAAATCCTATAGAATGAGGAGTCACGCTTGACGAGTCATGCTTGAACAATATATATGAAAAGCAGAAACTGGAGAAATCTAAAAAGGTTAGCATGAACAAAATGCTGAAGACAAAAAGATTTATTTATAAGAAATGGAAGAAGGGTTGAATAAGATAAGAAGAATTCAAGGCTGTTTCCTCAAACTGTAAGAACTGTGTCAGCAAAATTAAAGCTGAGAAGGTTTTAGACTTGAAAACTATAACAACAATAACAAAGGTTCTTTCGAGTAGTTACAAACAAAAGGAAAAGCCAAGACAAGGTAGATCTTTTGCAAGAATGAAATCTTGAATTGATAAAGGGTAATGTGAGAAAGCAGAACTTCTTAACTCCTATTTTGCATGTGTCTGTAGCTAATGTACATGAATTAGATAGTCACTTCAGTAGTCTGGGATGTAAACCAACAGACAAATTTGTAGAACAACTGTTAGTAGATTCTGGCTGTTAAGTCCGGAGAATAATGGCGCTTGAGACGAAGCATTTCTAACAAGTCTTTATTCTCTGCTTCCAAATACGAACAACGACAAGCCCAGAGGCGCGCAAGCCTCTATATATACCCTCCGATCCCCGGGCAATTCCAACCAATCACAAGGCAATCCTTTCCCGCCTTGCGCATGCGTGCAAGGCCGGCGCCGCTCAGTCTGGTCCCGGGCAGCTTTTGCAAATGCCCGGGACTCTTGCAACTTCCCGCGCCTGCTTCTGCAGGCACAGGACACAACACCCCTCCCCCCTAGATAAAATAATGCGCCCAACATGGACGCCACCTTTGGTAGAAGGGTGTGAAGGAGCCGCGGTAGCGTGGCGAATCATGTTGTTTTGTAGAAACTCCTTCTGTCGACCCAGGCAGACCGCAGCGATGTGGCCTTTCTTTCCGCACGCTCGGCAAATGGCAGAACGGAACCGACATTCCGCTCGCTTGTGGTGACCCCCGCATCCGAAGCAACGAACCTCAGCTGGGCCCTTGTCCTGACGATCTTTCGACCTCCTCCCAGCTGCTTGGTACCGCTTGTCCACCTCCTTGTGGATGGTTGCATTCACTGGAGCGCTTCAAGTGGGCCGCAAATTCTTGACCGCTCTACCAGCAGCTTCCTCTGCCATAACCTCTCGCAGAGCATCTTGGAAAGAGACATCTTCCATGGCAAACAGCTTCTGCTGTAAGTCTCCGTTCCTCAGTCTGCACACAAAACGATCATGCAGTCTTTCCTCTAAGTCCTTGAAATCACACAGTTTAGCTGCTCTTCTCAAAGCTGCAACGTATTCTTTTGCTGATTCCCCAGCTCGCTGATCCCTCTGTTGAAATGTGTGCCTCCAAGCCATGACAGATTGCTTGGGCTGGAAGTGTTCCTTTAAAACTTTCTTCAGATCGGAGTATGACATCGTTTCCAGCGAAGCCGGGGCGATTAGGTTCTCGGCGATCTCAAAGGCGTCTAGCCCACAAACGCACAACATTGTGGCAGCCTTTAAGCCTTCCTCTCTTATCTGGTTTACGTGGAAGTAAGTCTCGATTCTTGCAACGTATGATTCCCACCTCTCGGGGTGAGAGATGTCGAAATCCGCTAAACGCCCAACTTTCACCATGATCGAGGATCAGAGTCTTCTTCAGTCGCATGCACCCTCCAGCGATTTCGTACTGGCAGGATAACGCTGACTTCCACGCCGTTTCCCTCTTCCGGACTTCTTTGGGTGAGTCTTCAAGCTTCCCTAGCTGTATAGACTGAATCCCATCCTCGTCGCCAGTGTTAAGTCCGGAGAATAATGGCGCTTGAGACGAAGCATTTCTAACAAGTCTTTATTCTCTGCTTCCAAATACGAACAACGACAAGCCCAGAGGCACGCAAGCCTCTATATATACCCTCCGATCCCCGGGCAATTCCAACCAATCACAAGGCAATCCTTTCCCGCCTTGCGCATGCACGCAAGGCTGGCGCCGCTCAGTCTGGTCCCGGGCAGCTTTTGCAAATGCCCGGGACTCTTGCAACTTCCCGCGCCTGCTTCTGCAGGCACGGGACACAACACTGGCAATTCTAGACAACTCCAGAAGTCTGGAGGAGAGCAAATGCCATTCCCATCTTCAAAAAACTGGAAGGACTTGGGGAAGTACAGAACTCTCAATTTCATGTCTATAAACAGCATCTTGTGAATAGACCAATTTAATTGGTTACAACTGATTCTGATGCTTCAGAACTACAAATAAGCAGAAAGCAGGACTTATTTCAAAATGTTATTAGGAACAAGTGAAAACTTCAAAACACTGAGCAAGATTTGGAATGTCATGGATGTTTTTAAAGAACAGCCACTACTATTTTATCCCAAAATGCTTTGCCTGCCAAAATAATTGACAAACATCTTGACTGACATTTGTCCTTTAATGAGATGGATTTCACTCACACTTTACTGTGTCTGGAACATCTTTTAACCATTTTATTTATTTAGCTTTACTTAATTTATAAATATTTGCACACTGTTTTTTCTCACAATTCTAGGCAGGCTACAATATACTGTAATAAATACAATAAACTATCTGTGAAGTACTAATAAATCCAGCCTCAAAACTGCCAGAATTTGGGCCTTGGCCCTATGAATCTGTGCTTACTTGCTCCTGCTGATCAAGTCCTCTGTCATCCCATCAAGGTAAGCCA